CTCTAGCGGTCTCATTTTTGCCTCAATCATCATCAAACTTGGTCAGGATGATTATCTAGTTGAAAGCTCGGATGAGTTCGAACATGGCTCATCTCGGATGAAAAACTAGGTCACAAGAGCTAAAAATAGAAAAACCTTGTGAACACTCTAGAGGTCACATTTTTGACCCAATCATCATCAAACTTGGTCAGGATGTTTGTCCAGGTGATAGCTCGGATGAGTTTGAACATGGGTCATGTCGGATGAAAAAGTAGGTCACAGAAGCTATAAATAGAAAAACCTTGTGAACACTCTAGTGGTCACATTTTTGAACCAATCTTCATCAAACTTGGTCAGATTGCTTGTCTAGTCAATTGCTTGGATGAGTTCGAACATGGGTCATCTCTGATGAAAAACTAGGTCACAGGAGCTAAAAATAGAAAAACCTTGTGAACACTCTAGTGGTCACATTTTTGACCCAATCATCATCAAACTTTGTCAGGATGCTTGTTTAGATAATAGCTCGGATGTGTTCGAATATGGGTCATCTCGGATGAAAAAGTAGGTCACCGGAGCTATAAATAGAAAAACCTTGTTAACACTCTTAGCGGTCAAATTTTTGCATCAATCATCATCAATCTTGGTCAGGATGCTTATCTAGTTGATAGCTTGGATGAGTTCGAACATGGGTCATCTCGGATGAAAATGTAGGTCACCAGAGCTAAAAATAGAAAAACCTTGTTAACACTCTAGCGGTCACATTTTTGCATCAATCATCATCAAACTTGGTCAAGATGTTTGTCTAGGTGATAGCTCGGATGAGTTCAAACATGGGTCATCTCTGATGAAAAAGTAGGTCACCGGAGCTAAAAATAGAAAAACCTTGTTAACACTCTAGTGGTTACAATTTTGGCTCAATTGTCATCAAACTTGGTCAGGAAACTTGTCTAGGTCATTGCTGGGAATAAATCGAACATGGGACATCTCGGATGAAAAACTTGGTCACAGGAGCTAAAAATTGAAAAATCACTCTAGTGGCTACTGTTGTGATCCAAATATTCTGTTAATTGGTCTGAAAGTTTGTTTTGATGAGCAAGAAGTCAAGATCAAACATGGGTCATCTTGGATGAAAAACTAGGTCACACCGCCAAAATATGGAAAAACCTTGTTAACATTCTAGTGGTCACATTTTCGACTCAATTATCATCAAACTTGGTCAGGATGCTTGTCTAGGTAATTGCTTGGATGAGTTCAAAATCGCATGTGAAACTAGGTCACCAGAGCTAAAAATAGAAAAACCTTGTAAACACTCTAGCTGTGACATTTTTGCATCAATCATCATCAAACTTGGTCAAGATGCTTGTCTAGGTGATAGCTCGGTTGAGTTCGAACATGGGTCATCTCGGATGAAAAAGTAGGTCACCGGAGCTAAAAATAGAAAAACCTTGTTAACACTGTAGCGGTCACATTTTTGCATCAGTCATCATCAAACTTGGTCAAGATGCTTGTCTAGGTGAAAGCTCGGATGAGTTCGAACATGGGTCATCTCGGATGAAAAACAAGGTCACAGGAGCTAAAAATAGAAAAACCATGTTAACACTCTAGAGGTCACAATTTTGCCTCAATCATCATCATCAAACTTGGTCAGGATGCTTGTCTAGGTGATAGCTCTGATGAGTTTGAACATGGGTCATCTCGGATGAAAAAGTAGGTCACCGGAGCTAAAAATAGAAAAACCTTGTTAACACTCTAGCGGTCACATTTTTGCATCAATCATCATCAAACTTGGTCAAGATGCTTGTCTAGGTAAAAGCTCGGATGAGTTCGAACATGGGTCATCTCGGATGAAAATCTAGGTCACAGGAGCTAAAAATAGAAAAACCATGTTAACACTCTAGAGGTCAAAATTTTGCCTCAATCATCATCAAACTTGGTCAGGATGCTTGTCTAGGTGATAGCTCGGATGAGTTTGAACATGGGTCATCTCTGATGAAAAAGTAGGTCAACTTCGAACATGGGTCATCTTGGATGAAAAACTAGGTCACACCACCCAAATATGGAAAAACCTTGTTAACATTCTAGTGGTCACATTTTCGACTCAATTATCATCAAACTTGGTCAGGATGCTTGTCTAGTTATTTGCTTGGATGAGTTCGAAATCGCATGTGGAACTAGGTCACCGGAGCTAAAAATAGAAAAATCTTGTTAACACTCTATTTGCTACTGTTTTGATCCAAGTATCCTGGAAATTGGTCTGAAAGTTTGTTTTGATGATTTCTAGGTCAAGTTTGAATATGTGTCACCTGGGTAAAAAACTAGGTCGCACTGCTCAAATATGGATAATCCTTGTTAACACTGTAGTGGTCACATTTTTGACTAACCTGTCATGAGACTTGGTCAGAATGCTTGTCTAGGTAATTGTTTGGATGAGTTTGATAAGTCAGGTGAGCAATCTAGGGCCATCATGGCCCTCTTGTTTAGTTTTAAAGGTATCTACCTCAAACTTCAAATACTTGTTCCTTATCATCAATTACATTTTATGTGACAAGATTCATAACTCTTGAAGCAATATTTACAGATTTATCCTTCTTTGAACTTAGAATTTTCTTTAAGAAATATTATAACTTCTTTACTTTTTAAGGTATCTACTTCAAACTTCAAATATATATTTCTTATCATTACACACATGTTGTGTGACAAGGTTCATAAATCTAGCATGACTATTTCCAGAATTTTCCCCTTCATCTTGGGACATTTTGTTAGCAATGTTATTTTTTTTACTATAACTTAATACATAATTATACATAAATGATTTTTATTTCATAGTTTTGTCTTCCTTACTGCGTCCAGTATTTTATTAGTCGAGCTTCGCTGTCTCCTGTGACAGCTCTTGTTAAGAATAATACATAAAAAAGTGATCAACAAATGCCATATCACGTATTTGAATTCATGCAGCATGTTATTAGTAAAAGTTTTCATAAATACGAATATGGCCACTACCGTGAGCACTCCGAAGTAATCTCCATTGACTTGGATTACGGACATTTCACAGTCTTTTTGTGATATTATTGATGTAAATAAACGTTGATTTTATTTGTTTTCTGTTACATGTTTGTGTAATTATATTCTTTGCTTTTAATTTTGAAATACCGGTACTTTTTGAAACAGTATTTACCGGTAAATTATGAAACGGTTTTAGGTATGGTCTAGGTACCAATTATTGGTATCCAACCCTACCTATGTACAAAATTATTAATTAAAATGCATGTTTTCTGAAAGGTGTGTGTCAGGGGAATTAGGCACTTATGATATGAAAAGTGTGTGTCAGGGGAATTTGACAATTTCTAGTTTATTTATGGTAATGATTGAAACTTATACAAAAGAACAAGTGTGAATAGACAGACCTGCTTTTATATGTCCATTTGAAAAACAGGTGGTATTCTAGTTTCCCTCCTTGGGAGGGGGGTGGGGGGGGGGCTGGGCCCTTTAGCATCAATTTTTTGTCTGGAGCATATCTCCTATACCAATGGAGGAATTTTAATGTAACTTCATAGAAATGTTCACCACTATGAGAAGCTATGTGCGCGCATGGACCAGGCCTCTAGATCAAAGGTCAAGGTCACACTTAAAGGTCATTGAAAAACACTTGTCCGGAGCAAAACTTCTACATGCATAGAGGGATTTCAATATAACTTGGCACAAATGTTCTTTATTGTAAGACAGAGTGTCGCGTGCAAAATTTAGGTCCCTGTGGCCAAGGTCAAGGTCACACATAGGGGTCAAAGTTCAGATATAAAAATGAAAATGTATATTGAGACTATTTAGTCATCATTTATTGAGGGATTGAAACACAAATGGCCATTATCATGACTACTGGTGTGAAACATGTAATTTAGATTAATATATGCAAGGTCAAGGTCACTAAATATGATTGCCAAGGTTACTAAAGATGAATTGATAAAATATAGAGATTTTGTCCTGAGCATATCTTCTACACATATGGAGGGATTTTAATGACACTTCATACAAATGATCACCACTATGAGAAGCTGTGTCATGCGCATGAACCAGGCCTCTAGGTCAAGGTCACACTTAGAGATTATAGAAAAATGCTTGTCCGGAGCAAAACTTCTACATGCATAGAGGGATTTCAATATAACTTGGCACAAATGTTCACCTAATGTCCCTGCGGCCAAGGCGAAGGTCACACATAGGGGTCAAAGTTCAGATTCAAATATGAGAATGTGTATTGGACCATTTAGTCATCATATATTTAAGGATTGAAACACAAATGGTCATTATCATGACTACGTGTTTGAAATATGTAATTTAGGTTAATATTTGCAATGTCAAGGTCACTAAAGATGATAAAATATAGAGATTTTGTCCAGAGCATATCTCCAACATATACAGAGAAATTCTAATAAAACTTTATACAAATGTTCACCACTATAAGAAGCCGTGTCCTGTGCATGAACCAGGTCTCTAGGTCAAAGGTCAAGGTCACACCTAGAGGTCATTAAAAAGCGCTTGTCCGGAGCAAAACTTCTACATGCATAGATGGATTTCAATATAACTTGGCACAAATGTTCACTATTGTGAGGCGGATATAACTTGGCACAAATGTTCACTATTGTGAGGCGGAGTGTGGAGCGCAAAATTTAGGTCCCTGCTTTTAGGGTCACACATAGGGGTCAAATTTCAGATAAAAAAGTCACTACAGATGAAAATATATACAGATATTTTCCAGATATTGCCCAGAGCATATCTCCTATATGCATATCTATAATGCCCACATCTCAGTCAAAAGCTTCTGTGACGGGCATATATTGCGGCAATGTTGCCCTTGTTAAAGATTTGTATAAACCGTTTATTTGTTTGATTTTGGAAAAAGTAAAAAAGTTGAGCTTTGCCCAAGAGGCGGTGGCTCTTGTTAAAATTGCACATTAGAAGGATTTTATGTAATTAAATGCTGCACAAGTTTAATCTTTGAAATTCTGTACTGATATAATTAATTTCAGCTTGACACAAAAAAAAGCTTAGTAGATCAGTGTGTACAAGGAGAGGGCATGGTACAAATAAATCTGGAGGTGAAATCACAACCAGGTAATAATTTACATTTCATTATGATTCCTTACAAAAAGAACAAATGTAACATTTTGTCAAGTACTTAAAATTCGGCTATAAACATTGTCTAGTGGATTCCTTTAAAGTTAAATTGTAGCTTTTTAGCTCCCCAATGAGTACAATGTGCTCAAATGTGTGCTTTTTGATGTGTGTTGTTAATGGCATCAAACCTATTGATGCAACCACAGCATTTGCAACGCGGTGGCATAAAGTGATTCACCTCTGTGTGTGCATTAGTGCGTGAGCGTGTGTGTGTTTTAATTACAAATTATATAGCCAACTTAAAAAATCTTGTTAAAAACCACAAGTCCAATTTCAATATGGTAAGTGGAAATTTAGGATTGTTCCTTGGGTGAAGGGCTTCCATAGTTTTTCAAAGAATTTGATTCCATTGAGAAATCTGCTTGCCATAAGAACCAAAAGAGATTATTAGAATAAATTTGAAAAATCTTCCTTTTAAGACCCACAAGGCCTAGAGCATAGATATTTTGCATAAACTTTTTGCATCTGCGTTGGTTACAGTTTTTTGTAAGTTCAAATATCTTAATTATTGCTTGAGATATTCAATTGAAACTTACAATACTTATTTATAGTAACAATGTACATCAGATTGACAAGTTGGATAACTCTGCCTACAATATTGACAGAATTATGCCCCTTTTTAACTTAGAAATTTTGGTTAAAGTTTTTTGTAAAGTCAAATATCTCAATTATTGCTGGAGATATTCAATTGAAACTTACAATACTTATTTATAGTAACAATGTACATCAGATTGACAAGTTGGATAACTCTGCCTACAATATTGACAGAATTATGCCCCTTTTTTTACTTAGAAATTTTGGTAAAAGTTTTTTGTAAAGTCAAATATCTCAATAATTGCTTGAGATATTCAATTGAAACTTACAATACTTATTTATAGTAACAATGTACATCAGATTGACAAGTTGGATAACTCTGCCTATAATATTGACAGAATTATGCCCCTTTATAACATAGAAATTTTGGTAAAAGTTTTTTGTAAAGTCAAATATCTCAATTATTGCTTGAGATATTCAATTGAAATTTACAATGCTTTTTTATAGAAACAATGTACATCAGTTTTCAAAATTGCATAACTCTGCCTGAAATATTTGCAGAATTATTTGCCCCTTTGAAACTAAAGGTTAAAAGTCTTCAAAGATATTTACTTGAAACTTTACACTTGTACTTAGGGTCATAATTGGAGAGTCATAATTGTATGTCACTGACCAAGTTCCATAACTCTACTCGCATTTAAGCTGATTCATCTCCCGTTTTCTACTTAGTCTCTTAGTTAATGTTTACATGCAAGTTTTACATATCTCAATAACTATTATAGATATTTATTTAAAACTTCACATATGCATTTAAAATCATAATTGTAGGTCACTGACCAAGATCCATAATTCTATCTTGCATTTAGGCTGATTTTTCTCCCCTTTTTAGCTCACCTGAGCATGCTCAGGGTGAGCTTTTAGGATAGATGATTGTCCATCGTCCGTTCACATTTTGTTGTTAACACTCTAGCGGTCGCATTTTTGCCTCAATCATCATCAAACTTGGTCAGGATGCTTATCTAGTTGATAGCTCGGATGAGTTCGAACATGGGTCATCTCGGATGAAAAACTAGGTCACAAGAGCTAAAAATAGAAAAACCTTGTTAACACTCTAGAGGTCACATTTTTGCCTCAATCATCATCAAACTTGGTCAGGATGTTTGTCTAGGTGATAGCTCGGATGAGTTCGAACATGGGTCATCTCGGATGAAAACGTAGGTCACCGGAGCTTAAAGTAGAAAAACCTTGTTAACACTCTAGCGGTCACATTTTTGCATCAATCATCATCAAACTTGGTCAGGATGTTTGTTTAGGCGATAGCTTGGATGAGTTCGAACATGGGTAATCTCGGATGAAAAAGTAGGTCACCGGAGCTAAAAATAGAAAAACCTTGTTAACCCTCTAGCGGTCACATTTTTGCATCAATCATCATCAAACTTGGTCAGGATGCTTATCTAGTTAATAGCTCGGATGAGTTCGAACATGGGTCATCTCGGATGAAAAACTAGGTCACAAGAGCTAAAAATAGAAAAACCTTGTTAACACTCTAGAGGTCAAAATTTTGCCTCAATCATCATCAAACTTGGTCAGGATGTTTGTCTAGGTGATAGCTTGGATGAGTTCGAACATGGGTCATCTCGGATGAAAAACTAGGTCACAGGCGCTAAAAATAGAAAAATCTTGTTAACACCCTAGTGGCTACTGTTTTGATCCAAATATCCTGTAAATTGGTCTGAAAGTATGTTTTGATGATTTCTAAGTCAAGTTCGAACATCGGTCATCTTGGATGAAAAACTAGGTCACACCGCCCAAATATGGAAAAACCTTGTTTACATTCTAGGGGTCACAATTTCGACTTGATTATCATCAAACTTGGTCAGGATGCTTGTCTAGGTAATTGCTCGGATGAGTTCGAAATCGCATGTGAAACTGGGTCACAAGAGCTAAAAATAGAAAAATCTTGTTAACACTCTAGTTGCTACTGTTTTGATCCAAGTATCCTGGAAATTGGTCTGAAAGTTTGTTTTGATGATTTCTAGGTCAAGTTTGAATATGGGTCACCTGGGTAAAAAACTAGGTCGCACTGCTCAAATATGGATAATCCTTGTTAACACTGTAGTGGTCACATTTTTGACTCGCCTGTCATGAGACTTGGTCAGAATGCTTGTCTAGGTAATTGTTTGGATGAGTTTGATGGGTCAGGTGAGCGATCTAGGGCCATCATGGCCCTCTTGTTCAACTTAGAAATTCATGGTAAAGTTTTGCTTGTAAGCTGTTATCTCCATAACTACTGAAGAGTTTGTGCTTTTTTGGGACATTTTTATGCATTCATAATAATAAAGCAGTGATTTACTTTATAAAACATCTTAATAACAAGCCTTTGTACCTTTTCAGTCAATTTTATGTATTCATAGGTAATTAGCATTATTAAACTCAATAAAACACCCTTGTGACAATTTTTGAGTCGAGCCAACACTGTCCTCCGACAGTAACACTGTCATCCGACAGTTCTTGTTTTTAATTATTATCCCCCGCCGGGGGATATAGTAATAGTCTCCGTCCGTCTGTCCTTCCGTCCGACATTTTTGTCCGGAGCATATCTCTAAATGTATTTGAGTTATCAACTTGAAACTTCATAGGTGGATAGACCTCATTGAGGAGGAGTGCAGTGCACAAGAATGATAACTCTACCCTGCATAATTTTTTAGTTATTGCCCTTTGTTATTTTTCAAAATTGATTTTTGTCCAGAGCATAACTCAAAAAGCCTATGAGATATCAACATGAAACTTCATAGGTGCATAGATCTCACTCAGGAGGTGTGCAGTGCTTAAGACTGATAACTCTACCTTTCATAATTTTTGAGTTATTGCCCTTTGTTATTTTTCATACTTAATTTTTCACCTGAGTGGAGCATAACTCAAAAAGTGTTTGAGATATCAACATGAAATGTCATAGGTGGATAGATCTTATTGAGGAGGAATGCTGTGCACAAGAATGATAACTCTTCCCTATACAATTTTTGAGTTATTTCTCTTTGTTCTTTTTCATAATATTTTGTCCGGAGCTTATCTCAAAAAGTATTTGAGGTATCAACTTGAAACTTCATAGCTGGATGGATCTCATTGAGGAGGAGTGCAGTGCACAAGAACGATAACTCTACCCTGCATAATTGTTTAGTTATTGCCCTGTGTTATTTTTCAAAATTAATTTTTGTCCAGAGCATAACTCAAAAGGCCTTTGAGATATCATTATGAAACTTCATAGGTGCATAGATCTAACTCAGGAGGTTTGCAGTGCACAAGAATGATAACTCTACCTTTTATAATTTTTGAGTTATTGCCCTTTGTTATTTTTCATACTTAATTTTTCAATTCAATTTTTTTCTTGGAAATTGGTCAGAAAGGTTGTTAAGATGATTTCTAGCTCAAGTTCAAATATGGGTCATCTGGGGTCTAAAAGAAGGTCATACAGCCCAAATATCTTCTCTTTAAGAATTTTGCATTAAAATATGTTATATTTTGGTAACAGGGATGTTTGAAAAAATAACTTTAGAGTCTCCTTCAGTCTGTCTGTCTGTATGTATGTCTGTCTGTCTGTTCATAAAAACTGTTTTCTGAGATCACTTTTAAATATTTTTTCCAACAAATTTACTTAAAAAAGAGAAAAGATGAAACATTAGTTATTCTTATTCATCCTGAGAAAATTGGACTTTTTGATTATCTGTTGTATAAACATAATTTCCTTACTAGGCAGGGAAACTTAACACATTACTGTGATATAGACAAACTTAGAACTCAGAAGATTTAAGTTCATTCACATGTCATTCATTCACTGGTAAAATTGTATTGCCAATGGCCCATCAGAATGTTGCTGGGGTTCTAACTGGTAGGGGACTTATGGATTTCTTGCTATACTATGATAATTGCTTGTTAAAAATAGTGTATGGTCCGTTGTTAAAAATAGATGCTAGAATTCCCAAAACTTGAAGTCCCCTGAGATTTCATTTGAAAGCAGACTCCATATTGGTAAACATTCTCTACATATTTCCCTAGCAAATAGTTGGGTACACAATGTCATTGAAGTTTCATTTAAAAACAAAGCATGAATTGATTCAAAATTGATTTGTTTATCAAATGTTATTTTTATTTGACCATAATTTGATTAATAAGGGTGATTTGCCAAATTTCTGGTAGCCTTTGCAAAAAGGGTTGACCCATAACTTTGCTGTCGCACAACGTCAAAATAAAAGCAACATGGAAGCCAGAACTAACCATTTCTAAAAATAGAAAAATTGTTTCCGGACAATAACTAGAGTTAGGAAAGAGATATTGTAATCAAACTAGGTAAGCAAGCTTATATAAAGACCCTGGTTGGTAAAGCATTTGGACCACCTGGGGTCAATGTCAAGGTCACCATTACTAAAAGTATAAAAATAGTTTCCTGACAATAGAGTTAGGAATGAGATCCTGTAATCGATCTTGGTGTTTAGCAACCTAATATGAGACCCCGGTTGGTATTGCATTTGGGGTCAAGGTCAACTTTACTAAAAATAGAAAAATAGTTTCCGGACAATAGAGTTAGGAATGAGATCCTGTAATCGATATTGGTGTTTAGCAAGCTGATATGAAGACCTCCGTTGGTATTGCATTTGGTCTGCCTGGGGTCAATGTTAAGGTCACCATTACTAAAAATAGAAAAATGGTTTCTGACCAATAACTAGAGTTGAGAATGAGATCCTGTAATCAAACTTGGTGTATAGCAAGCTTATATGAAGACCCCAGTTGATATTGCATTTGGACCCTCTGGGGACAAGGTCGCCATTACTTAATATTATAAGAAAAATGGTTTCTGGACAATAACTAGAGTTAGGAATGAGATATTGTAATCAAATTTGGTGTATAGCAAGCCTTATTATGAAGACCCCCGTTGGTATTGCAATTAATTGAAATAATTCTTTGTACACAGTTGATACTTCATATATTATAGGTTGATTTCAAATTTTCTTCAGACCACTTATTTTATAAAAAGTTGCTGGTGGGGGTATTAATCACCTTCAGTGATAGCTCTAGTTTTGATGATTTCTAGCTCAAGTTTGAGTATGGGTCATCTGTAGAGAAAACTTAGGTCACACAAGCCAAATATGGAAAAACCTTGTTAACACTCTAGGGGCAACTGTTTCAGTCCAAATATCCTAAAATAGGTCAGAAAAATTGTTTTTTTGTAATTTCTAGCTCAAGTTCAAATATGGGTCATCTTGAGTCACAAACAAGGTCAGAAAGCCCTATGTTAACACTTTAGAGGTTATTGTTTTGGTCAAGATATCCAGTTTCCAAAAAGTCATACAGCCCAAACATGGAAAATCTTTAGAGACTCCAAATATCCAGGAAATTGGTCACAAAGGTTGTTTTGATGATTTCTAGGTAATGTTCAAATATGGTTTATCTTGGATCAAAAACTAGGTTACACTGCTAAATTATGGAAAAACATTGTTTACATTCTAGAGGTAATATTTTCTGCCATAATATCCAGAAAATTTGGTAGAAAGGCTGGTTGTCACACAGACCAAAAATGGAAAAAAAAATTTTTTGTCACTCTAGAGGTTACTTTTTAGCTGAGATACCTTGGAAATTGGTCAGAAATGTTTAGTATGGTTTCTAGCTCAAGTTTGAATATGGGTCATCGGAGGTCAGAAAAGGTCATAGGACATAAAAAGGGATATATTGAAAAATTTTATTAACGTTTGCACTATTTCAGGTGTAAATATAAATGTTATGATATCAGTTTAAGTTTATGGCATTATATCTGCCTTTCATTCATTGCTAATAATATTATTTCAGAGCCTTAATAATTAGGTGAGCGATATTAGGGCCATCATGGCCCTCTTGTTTAGCAATTGATTTAGAAATTCAGGGCTATCGTAGCACTCTTGTTAAATTAAAATGTTAAGAAAAATATTTTTTTAACATTTTGTATATACAAATAATATTAAGAGTCTGTATTGCTTTTGTTTTGAATGTCCAGATTTTTATTTCATGTTTTACAGGAATGAAACCAAAGATAAATATTCTTGATATTCTTAAACCTGCAGAGGAGGTGGAACCAACCCTTGTGGAACAGAGTATGTAAATACATTTTATGATTAACACTCTCAGGGTTAAAATGGTGAGGCATATCAGTGTTTTTTTGTGCCGCCACTATAGGGAGGGGGAGGGGGCATTTAGAGTTACCCTTCCGTCCATCTGTCCGTCTGTTCTCTTTTTGTGTCGCAAGTAACTCAAAAAAAATTGACCTAGACTCATGAAACCTTACAGGAATGTTGATCAGCATGTGAAGTTGTGCACCTGGGTATTTTCATGTGGATATATTTAGTATTTTTATTTAGAGTTATTGCCCTTGAATTAGTAAAAATTTCCAAATTTCAACTTGTGTCGCACGTAACTAAAAAAATATTTGACCGAGAGTAATGAAACCTTACAAGAATGTTGCTCAGCATGTGTAGTTGTGCACCTGGGTATTTTCCTGTGGATATTTTTAGAGTTATTGCCCTTGACTTAGTAAAAATTTCCAATTTTCAACTTGTGTCGCACGTAACTCAAAAAATATTTGACTTAGAGTCATGAAACCTTACAGGAATGTTGATCAGCATGTGAAGTTGTGCACCTTGATATTTTTGTGTGGATATATTTAGTATTTTTAGAGTTATTGCCCTTGAATTAGTAAAAATTTACAATATTAACTTGTGTTGCACATAACTCAAAAAGCATTTGACCTGTAGGCCTGAAAGTTTACAAGAATGTTGGTCAGCATGTGTACTTATGCACCTTGGGGTTTTCTTGTGCATTTATTCAGTATTTGTAGTATTTTCCCTTTACTTAATAAAAGATTTTTAGTTTTCAACTTGGGCACATGTAGCCAAAAAAAACCCTAGAGACATGATTGACAAATCTGTGGAGTGTGGGGGCACCCGTGTCCTATGGACCCATTTCTAGTTTCTTTATATAACTACTATCCTAAAAAAGGTACTGTTCCCAATAGAAAAAAGACATTTTAATTCCCAATTTCCAATGTTTAAATTCCCAAAATGGCTGTTCAAAATTCCCACAAGGCAAAGTGATTTCTCTTTTAAATCCAACATATTCATATAAATCACCTCTCAATAGTTCTACTTGGATAGTGGAAGCTGTTAGCTGTCTTTATTCATGATGAATAATCTTAAATGTAGCTGAAAAAATGCATAAAAAAAAATCCCAATTAAAGTCAAATTAAGGCATTTTTTCCAAATCAGTCTGGTACGGCACTATTCCCAAAGTAGAGAAAAAAAAACGCTGCATAAGTTTTTAGCTTACCAGAGCTATTGAGGTCACCATGTTTCAGTCATTATACCCCCACAAATGAAGTTTAGGGGGTATATAATCCTCAGGGTGTTGGTCGGTCAGTCCACATCATAACCGCCTCCGTGGTCGAGGGGTTAGCGTCGATGACTTCTAATCCAGTTACCTCTCTGGCCTAGGTTCGATCCCCGGGAGATGCTTTGGTAGTTTAGAGCGGAGGAAGGTAGTCTAGTACTGGTGTTACTCTCCAGGAACGCTGGTTAGAAACTACCCGCCTATATGACTGAAATACTGTTTGGAAAAGGCGTAAAATGAAACAAACAAACAGTCCACATCATGGTTTCGGGACGATAACTAGAGTTTCGAACGAGGTATTGTAATAAAACTTGGTGTATAGCTACCTTATGTGGAAATCCCGGTTGGTCTTGCATATGGACTCTCTGTGGTCAAGGGTAAGGTTACTGTTATTAAAAATTAAAAAATGGTTTCAGGACAATAACTCAATTTAGGAATGAGATATTGTAATCAAACTTGGTGTATAGCAAGCTTATATGAAGATTCTGGTTAGTATTGCATTAGGACCCCCAGGGGTCAATGCCAAGGTCACCATTACTAAAAAATAGAATCAAAGCTCTGAATGTACTGATGGGAAGGCTATGACAGATTGTTTCAGACTTATAGTTTCTTTTCTTTTTGCTTAAAATGTGCTGTAATTTCAATTATTACCAAAATAAGAAGATCCCTCCATTGTGCCATTTATCCTTACTGTTGTTTTTTATCCATTCATATGGTTAATAATGGTGGACTTATTATTTTGTTAATATTCCAGAACTTTTTATTAACCAGGTTTTCCAAAGGAAAAAACTGGTTATTAGATTGAGGTATGTCGGCGGGCGGATGGGCGGGCGGGCGGGCGGGTGTAAACAATTTCTTCTGTGTGCAACTCCTCCTACATTTCTCAACAGATTTTGACCAAACTTTCACAGAACCTTTGTCATCAAGTGCCCTGACGCATATTGTCGGGGTTTTGTGATTGAATAATATTTGACCTAGTTATGGCCCTTTGTTTTTTTTCCTTATACAGAATATACAGTGAACAATTTCTTCTGTACGCAACTCCTGCTACATTTCTCAACGTATTTTGACCAAACTTTTACAGAAGCTTTATCATCAAGTGCCCTGGCCCATATTGTCGGGGTTTTGTGATTGGATAATGTTTGACCTAATTATGGCCCTTTGTTTTTTTTCCTTATATAGAATATAATTATAGTGAACAATTTCTTCTGTGCGCAACTCCTACATTTCTCAACGGATTTTGTTCAAACTTTCACAGAAGCTTTGTCATCAAGTGCCCTGGGGCATATGGTCAGGGTTTTTAGCTCACCTGACCACGAAGTGGTCAAGGTGAGGTATAGTGATGGGGCTATGTCCGGCGTCCGTCGTCGTGTGTCGTGTGTCATCAACAATTGGGTTGTTAACAGTCTAGCAGTCACAGTTTTGATTGGATCATCATCAAACTTTGTCAGAATGTTTGTCTCAATGAAATACAGATCGAGTTCGAAGATGGGTTATCTCGGGTCAAAAACTAGGTCACAGGAGCTAAAAATAGAAAAACCTTGTTAACACTCTAGAGGCTGCAGTTTTCATCCAAATATTCTGGAAATTTGTCAGGAAGGTTGTTTTAATGATATCTAGGTCAAGTTTGAAGATGGGTCATGTCTGGTCAAAAACTAGGTCACAGGAGCTAAAAATAGAAAAAGCTTGTTAACACTAATGGTTGCAGTTTTCATCCAAATATTCTGGAAATTTGTCAGAAAGGTTGTTTTGATGATTTCTAGATCAAATTCGAAGATGGGTCATCTCAGGTCAAAAACTAGGTCACAGGAGCTAAAAATAGAAAAAGCTTGTTTACACTCTAGTGGCTGCAGTTTTTATCTAAATATTCTGGAAATTTGTCAGGAAGGTTGTTTTGATGATTTCTAGGTCAAGTTCGAAGATGGGTTATCTCCGGTCAAAAACTAGGTCACAGGAGCTAAGAATAGAAAAAGCTTGTTAACACTCTAGTGGCTGCAGTATTGATTCAAATATTCTGGAAATTTGTCAGGAAGGTTGTTTTGATGATTTCTAGGTCAAGTTCGAAGATGGGTCATCTCAGGTCAAAAACTAGGTCACAGGAGCTAAAAATAGAAAAAGCTTGTTTACACTCTAGTGGCTGCAGTTTTGATTCAAATATTCTGGAAATTTGTCAAGAATGTTGTTTTGATGTTTTCTGGGTCAAGTGCTAAGATTGGTCATGTCCGGTCAAAAACTAGGTCACAGGAGCTAAAAATAGAAAAACCTTGTTAACACTCTAGTGGTCACATTTTCGACTCAATTATCATCAAACTTGGTCAGGATGCTTGTATAGGTAATTGCTTGGATGAGTTCGAAATCGCATGTGGAACTAGGTCACCGGAGCTAAAAATAGAAAAATCTTGTTAACACTCTAGTTGCTACTGTTTTGATCCAAGTATCCTTGAAATTGGTCTAAAAGTTTGTTTTGATGATTTCCAAGTTTGAATATGTGTCACCTGGGTAAAAAACTAGGTCGCACTGCTCAAATATGGATAATCCTTGTTAACACTGTAGTGGTCACATTTTTGACTCACCTGTCATGAGACTTGGTCAGAATGCTTGTCTAGGTAATTGTTTGGATGAGTTTGATAAATCAGGTGAGCGATCTAGGGCCATCATGGCCCTCTTGTTCTAATATGTATATATTAAAACATAAAAAAATCTTCTTCTCTGAATTGGCAAAGGCTACAGGTAAGATATTTGGCATGAAACATTGTGTGGTAGACCTCTACCAAGATTGTTCAAATAATGGCCCTCGGGTCAAAATTGGCCCCGCCCTCTTGGGGTCAAATTGGCCCCGCCCTCGGGGGGGTCATTGATTTTCATTATATACATATAGTGAAAACTTGAAAAATCTTCTGGTCTGAAAGTAAATGGCCTAGAGCTTTGATATTTGGTCTATGGTATCATCTATAGGTCCAAAACCAAAGTTGTTCAAATTTTGTTCCTAGAATTAAAATCGGCCCCGCCCTGGGGGTCATTGATTTTCCCTATATGTATATAGTAAAAACTTAAAAATCTTCTTTTAAAGAACCCAAAGAGCTAGAGCTAAGATATTTAGCATGAAACATGTTCTAATGGGTGTCTACCAAGTTTGTTCAAATAAAAGCCCTGGGGTCAAAATTGGCCCCGCCCCAGGGGGTCATTGATTTTCCCTATATGCATATAGTAAAAGCTTAAAAAAATTTCTTTTAAAGAATGCAAAGAGCTAGAGCTAAGATATTACGCATGAAACATGTTCTAATGGATGTCTACCATGTATGTTCAAATAAGAGCCCTGGGGTCAAAATTGGCCCCGCCCCAGGGGTCATTGATTTTCCTTATATGTGTATAGCAAAAACTTAAAAAAAATCTTCTTTGAAAAAACCCCAGGGGTCATTCATCAGCTCGAATTTTTTTTTTTTACATATATACATATTATATATATACATACATATATATATATATACATATATATATATATATATATATATATATATATATATACATATGTAATTTATATATATATATATATATATATATATAATATATATATATATATATATATATATATATATATATATACATATATATATTATATATATATATATATATATTATATATATATATATATATATATGTATGTATATATATACATATTTTTTTTTTAACATATATACATATATATATATACATACATATATATATATATATATACATATTATATATATATATGTATATATATATATACATATGTAATTTATATATATATATACATACATACATACATAAATATATATACATACATATATATATATAAGATATATATATACAATATATATACATATATATATATATAAATATATTAAAACGTGATAAATGTTCCTTGTGCAGTGTTGAAATAGATAAAATTATAATGTTTAAGAAATAACAAACTCTTTGTAAATTCGGTAGCGCTTTCAATGCTTTCTTCGCATATCTTCAGCCGAAACTTTAATAAACAATAAACATATAAACAAATGACGTAACGTCATGAAAAAAGGCGGGAACGTTAAATGATAACGTATCTTGAATTAATGACATTTATTAAAGGGAGGTAATAAAATTCACAAGTTAATGATTTTATGGCCACAAATTGTATGGTAATTAACAATTTTTACTCAATAAATATTGGTAAATAAACGGACAATTGGATTCCCGCTTTTTTTCATGACGTTACGTCATTTGTTTATATGTTTATTGTTTATTAAAGTTTCGGCTGAAGATATGCGAAGAAAGCATTGAAAGCGCTACCGAATTTTCAAAGAGTTTGTTATTTCTTAAACATTATAATTTTATCTATATAATATATATATATATATATATATATATATATATATATATATATATATATATATATATATATATATATATATATATACATACAAAAAACATCTTCTTTTAAAAAACCCAATAAGCTGGACCTTAGATCTTTAGCATGAAACATCTTCTAATGGGTGTCAACCAAGTTTGTTCAAATAAAAGCCCTGGGGTTTAAACTGGCCCCGCTCCGGGGGCCTATATACAGGTGAGCGACTTTGGGCCATCATGGCCCTCTTGTTTAGTTAAGTTGCAATTGTTAAGCAGTCTGAGGTTAATCTAGGACACGCATAAACTAGCTTGGAAATTTACCGATATCAAAAAAACTTTGAAGGTTAAATGTGTACAAAAGTGATGTAAATTCCATCATTAGGATATCTAAGCTGCATGATTTTAACATGACATAAGCTCCTTTGATGGCATTCATTCAGTGTATTTTGATTTGAGGGAATTCACTTTTTAACAAAGACTCTGAGCTACTTATGTGCAAAATATAATAATGCTTGATTTTTGAGAAATGAAATTATGAACTGACACTAACAGTAATTTGATGATTTTAAATTTTATAAATGTTTTAATTAAATTAAAGACTAAAACTAGTTTTTAGTCCCCTACCGGTTTACCGGAGGGGACTTTAGGTTTACCCTCCGTCCGTCTGTCCATCAGTCCGTCTGTCCGTCCATCAGTCCGTCCGTCCACAAAACTGGATCCCGCGATAACGCAAAAAGTACTGAAAATATTTTAATGAAACTTGATATATGGATAGATGGTAGTATGGAGATTATGCACGTCTTTTTCTTTTCTTCCTATGTTGAAAATTCTGGTTCCTATGGCAACAAATAGACTGAAAATATGGCAAATTTCACACATATCCTGGATCCCGCGATAACGCAAAAAGTACTGAAAATATTTTTATGAAACTTGATATATGGATAGATGGCAGTATGGAGATTATGCACGTCTTTTTCGTTTCTTCCTATGTTGAAAATTCTGGTTGCTATGGCAACAAATAGACTGAAAATATGGCAAATTTTACACATAACCTAGATCCAGTGATAACGCAAAAAGTACTGAAAATATTTTTATGAAACTTGACATATGGGTAGATGGCAGTATGGAAATTATGCACATCCTTTTCTTATCTTCCTATGTTGAAAATTCTGGTTGCTATGGCAACAAATAGACTGAATTTCAAGATTTCTGATTCTAGTTTTTAAGTTTTTTGACTATAAGTTCTTTATTTCTTAAGGTATTTTCTTCAAACTTTAAATATAAGTTGCTTGTCATCAACCACATCATATGTGACAAGGTTTACAACTCTAGCACAAAATTTATCAGAATTACCTCCCTTGAACTTAAAATTTTCATGAATAAAACATTGTTTTTTTTTATAACTTCTTTTTCTGAATGTATCTACTTCAAACTTCATATAAATGTTTCTTATTATCACTCAACATTTGTGAGTGTTCAATACTCTAGCAAGACTATTTCCAGAATTATGCCCCTTTTGAACTTAGACTTTTTTTTGAGAAATTGGTAATTTTTACTCCAACTTCTTCAATCATGATAGGATTTTAAAAATGTTATATTTTGATAACAATGATGTTTAAAAAATAACTTTAGAGTGTCCTTCAGTCCGTCTGTCTGTCTGTACATAAAAACTGTTTCCTGTGATCACTTTTAAAGAACTTTTTCAACAAATTTACTTAAAATAGGAACATAAGTGAATGGCCAATGGCCCTTCAGAATGTTGCTTGGGCTCTTACCGGTAGGGGACTTATGGATTGCTTGCAATACTATGATAACTGCTTGTTATTTCATGTTCGACATTGTCAGATCAACATATTCAGATATTTCATTGTGTTCATCTTATTAACAAACATGTTGATTTTACAATAAACATGTCAAAATCTTTATTGAAAACACTTTGACTATAATAAATTTAATTATAGAAGTGGATATTATGCTATATTATTCAACAAACAAAACAAAGAATATGAGAAGTTTCATAAAGTAAAACTGAAACCTTTTATTGATTTTGATTAAAAGACTCCCTGTCATATGTGACCTTGTTTGGATAGTCCCATGGGAAGTCACAAATGACAAGTTTGACTGTGCTTTAGATCTGTTGGATTTGGTTTATGATGAATCTACTACTGTCTAGCCTATTGATGATGAAGATGTACCACTTGCATTGTTGGTGCTAAACTCAGTTACAACATGCAGGATTTTGAAATCATTGATTCTAGTTTGCCAACTGAACAATGGGAAATGAACATTGTAGAATCATTACAGACAGATGAGACTATTGAGGATGATAGTGGAGATATAGACTGAAATATGTGAAACTCCCTTGCCAGGAAGTAAAATGAGTCAGAAAGAGGTGCTCCAAACTCTTTTGAAGTGCTTTGGAAAGTCAGTGATCTGCTAGATGGTGTTCTCTAGCTACAAACTATGATGCAAGATAAAATTGTTAAAACCAGGTGTTCACATAGACAATGAACAATTCATGATTTCTTTGTCAAGTCATGACTGATGATATGTAAAATCTACTATCATTACATACATTACAATGACTGTTGTTAAAATATAGTCATTTTTATGTGTTTATTTATTAAATAAATCATTTTATATGAAATAAAATAATTAAAGTTTGAAATGAACTTTTTTGTTGTCATTACTATTCTTGTACTTAGACTATCATAAACATAGATTTAAGATTAAACAGGCGACCATTTAGAAGTACTTTTATAAACACATTTTAAATATGACTGTGTATAAAACCTCTGAAAACCAGAATCCTCTGAAAACCGGGCTTTTTGCCTTGTCCGGTTAGGGTTGGGTTTTCAGAGTTTTTACTGTAATATCCTGTGCAATTGATAACTTTCGAGAACACCTTTCTGTCCTCAGGTGAGCCCTTATGAGCCAATGACCCCTTTGTTACAGAAGTTACCTGTTAAGTTTAGCCTTTTAAAAAGTTTGCAGATGTATTTGAATTGTAATTAAGCTATCCTTTTTAGATGCCTCTCCTCAGACTACTGCATCAACAGCAAAGGTGGTTGTACCTGCAGATGAAACTGAAAATATCACAAGGTGGATTGTTGATCAAAATTTTAGAAGAGATCAGGAACGTTTAAAAATACCTTTTGGTAAGTTTTGTTTGGTTTATTTGAATACACACTGACCTTTAAATCTACTATCCCACATATTGTAGTTTGGGTATTTTTATGCCACCGCAGCACCACTAGTCCAATTTCAACCAAACTTGGCAGGCTTGATCCTCAGGTGAAGGGCTTCCAAAGTTGTTCAAAGAATTTCATGCCATGGCAACCAAAAGGAATTATTAGAATAAATTTAAAAAGTCTTCTTGTAAAGACCCAAAAGGCCTAGAGCTTAGATATTTTGCTTAATGCATTGTCTGGTAGACCTCTATTGTTCAAATTATAGCCCTTGGGTCAAAATTGGCCCCGCCCCGGGGTCATTGATTTTCACTATATGTACATATAGTAAAAAGTTAAAATACCTTCTTGTCTGGAGGTACAAGGCTTAGAGGTTTGATATTTGGTATATGATATCATCTATAGGTCCTCTACCAATGTTGCTTAAATTATGCCCCTAGTGTTGAAATTGCCCTATTATGTATAAAGTTAAAAGTTGAAAAATCTTTTTCTCTGAATTGACAAAGGCTAGAGGTTAAATATTTGGCCTGAGACTTTGCGCAGTGAACCTCTACAAAGATTGTTCAAATTATAGCCCTGGGGTCAAAATTGGCCCCATCCCTGGGGGTCATTGATTTTCACTATGTACATATAGTAAAAAATTAAAAAAATTTCTTGTCTGAAGGTACAAGGCTTAGAGCTTTAATATTTGGTATATGATATCATCTATGGGTCCTCTACTAAAGTTGTTTTAATTATGCCCCTATTGTTAAAATTGCCCAATTGAATTGACAAAGGCTAGAGGTTAAATATTTGGCATGAGACTTTGCAAAGTGAACCTCTACCAAGATTGTTCAAATTATAGCCCTGGGGTCAAAATCGGCCCCGCCCCGGGGGTCATTGATTTTCATTATGTACATATAGTAAAAAATCTTCTTGTCTGAAGGTACAAGGCATAGAGCTTTGATGTTTGCTATATAATATCATCTATAGGTCCTATACCAAAGTTTTTCAAATTTTTCCCCTGGTGTCAAAATTGGCCCTGCCCGGAGGCATTGATTCTCATTATGTACACAGTAAAAACAGAAACTAAAACAAATGTTTTCTGAATTGGAGACAGCTACAGCTTAGATATTTGACATGAAATGTTGTTTGGTGGACCTGCATCAAGATTGTTTTGAGACAGTGACCTACTTTCTTGTCCTTTGATGTACAGCAATGAAATTTTGACCATGTGCACAGTTTTAGTTGTAAAATTGAACTTTGATATCAAGTGCCCTAGATTTTGGATGTGACCTACTTTCTTGTCTTTTGATGTACAGCTATGAAATTTGAACCATGTGCACAGATTAAGATGTAAAGTGAACTTTGATATCAGCTGACCTAGATTGTGTCTTCCTGTGTTGTCTTTTGATGTACAGTCATGAAATTTAGGCTGTGTGAAATATGACCTTCACCACCAAATTCACTAGACTCAAGTGCATTGATATATTCCTACTCTGATCTTTTATTTGAATAACAATAGATTTTACCACTAATATTGATAATGAGAATTAGATAGGTCAGGGATCTTTGCATTTATATGGCAATCTTCAATTATATAGAAACAAAAATAAATCTGTTCCTACACTACTATTCAGTGTTGTATTAATGTGGTAGCATAGCATTTTTCACAAATGCAATCTTGTTTTTCTCTTCTCTTCAATTTCTTGATCAGTGTGGCTTGCAAATCTTTTCTACATATTTTAATCCAATGAAATGCCTAAATCAAATAGAAAAATCATTATAATCCCAAAAAATTATTTCCAGTCCTGTCCTATTATCGACTACCTTTTAGGAAATTTTAAAAAATATTGTTTAGTAGGCCTGTTTATAAATGTAAAATATCAAATAAATTTCTTTTGGTTTTTAGACCAGCATACTGTACATCATTATGAATATTAATTTCTCTTCAAAAATTCGAAAAAAGAAAATAGAAAGAAATGTACAAGTATTTTTAATTTTAAGAAATGTGTAAATATTTTTAACTAGATACATGTATATGTTAACGCTTCATTTTATTATGGATCATTACAAAAATCTGAAGGCAGTAGTTAATTCTTCAAGATAAATATTAAATTAAACTCAGATGTGTGCTGCTTTAAATAGTGAATTTAATAATTTTAGTACTTATTAAAGTTACATTAATCAGGAAATGTGCTGCTTTAAATACCAATTTTATTTGGAATAAGTAGATGTAACTTTTTATGCCCCCACAATGTGGGAGCATATAGCGTTGCACTTGTCCGTCCGTCCGTCAATCCGTCAGTCAGTCAGTCAGTCAGTCAGTCAGTCCGTCCGTCCGTCCGTCCGTACGTCCCGAAATCTTGTGAACGCAACTCCTCTTAAACCGGATGGCAGATTTTGCTTAAACTTACAGGGATGAACAACCTTAATGTGTAGATGGTAGTAAAGGAAGGAATTTTCGCTGCGACCAAATTTAACAGAATTATGGCCCTTTGTTGATTTTTTCACTAGATACTATGTAGAAATTTTGTGAACGCAACTCCTCTTAAACCGGTTGGCAGATTTTGCTTAAACTTACAGGGATTAACAACCTTAATGTGTAGATGGTAGTAAAGGAAGGAATTTTTGCTGCGACCAAATTTAACAGAATTATGGCCCTTTGTTGATTTTTTCACTATATACTATGTAGAAATTTTGTGAACGCAACTCCTCTTAAACTGGATGGTAGATTTTGCTTAAACTTACAGGGATGAACAACCTTATGGTGTAGATGGTAGTAAAGGAAGGAATTTTCGCTGCGACCAAATTTTACAGAATTATGACCCTTTGTTGATTTTTTCACTCTATACCATGTAGAAATTTTGTGAATGCAACTCTTCTTAAACCGGATGGCAGATTTTGCTTAAACTTCCAGGGATTAACAACCTAAATGTGTAGATGGTAGTAAAGGAAGGAATTTTTGCTGCAACCAAATTTAACAGAATTATGGCCCTTTGTTGATTTTTTCATTATATACTTTGTAGAAATTTTGTGAACGTAACTCCTCTTAAACCGGATGGCAGATTTTGCTTAAACTTATAGGGATTTACAACCTTAATGTGTAGATGTTAGTAAAGGAAAGAATTTTTGCTGCGACCAAATTTACCAGAATTATGGCCCTTTGTTGATTTTTTGTCCAAAAAATATTTGACCTAGAGTCATAAGATTGACAGAACAGTGGCGTGTGGGGGCATCCGTGTCCTATGGACACATTTCTAGTTTTATATATGATGTTGCTAGTTAATTGTTGATTTTTATTGGAAAATTATGTTACAAGTCATGTTTTATGTGCCTTCAACTTTTTTTATAAAGGATTACTTTAAATATAAATATTTTTTTCTAAGTTATATGTTCTTAATATATAAATGATTGTTTATATATTATGTATAATTGAGGCTAATAGCCATATAACCTTTGGCTAATAATTCTTAATAAGTCTTAATTACTGGTTTCCTAGCAGTTTCCGTTCCCTAGCAGTTTTCCGGCCGTTTATCATTTTCGTCCAGTACAGTCTATTTTTACCAGTGAGGCGTCCACATTTATTCATCAATCAGAGAGACATTTGTTTTCTATGCTAAACAGCATTTAAAATAGTACAACGATTTATATGTTTGGAAGTTTTGCCTGTTATTTAAATTTACATAAGAGAACTTTCGACTTTTAAAAAATAACACATGGCAATGCTGGACAGGTACCTAACTTTTTCCTGTCAAAGTTTTGTACCCCTCCGTAGACTGATTTTTAGCTCAACTATACGAAGTATATGGAGAGCTGTCCTACTCGCCCCGGCGTCCGCGTCCAGATTTCAGATTAAAGTTTTGGTGCAGTAAAATATTTTTCACTGTAACTTTGTCATTTCTTAAGGTATCAACTTCAAACTTCAAATATATGCTCATTATCATCAACCACATCTTATGTGACAAGGTTCATAACTCTAGCACCAATATTTTCAGATTTATCTCCCCTTGAACTTAGAATTTTCCTCAAAAAATACTATTTTTTACTGTTACTTCTTTTTATGCCCCCGGGCATATAGCAATTGAACCGTCCGTCTGTCAGTACGAGGTTAACCTAGAACGGCAAGTTGGATTTTTCTTAAGTTCTTAAGTACCAATGGCTTCATAATTTACACACTTACTAATCCATACAAAGTATATGTTCTGGGCAAGTTACATAACTATGGCATCCATTTGCACCAAGTTACGTATGGCCCTTTTTAGCACATAGAAAATGAATAATGGTTAACCTAAACCGGCAAGTTGGAAATATCTATGTTCTATCTGAACTAATGGCTTAATAATTTTCACACTTAGATCAATACAATGTACATGATCTTGCCAAGTTATATAAATGTGCCATCCATTTTCCCTTTTTATCACTTTCAAAATAGGGCCTTGTATGGTTAACCTATTCCGCCAAGTTGGATTTATCAAAAAATTTCACCTAATTACTTTATTTAATGATATCTTTCATATTTGGTAGGTGGATACCTTTAACGGTCCTCTAATTTTTTGTGGCGTTAGTCGTCTCTAGGTCAAGGTCACTTGTGTAAAAAAATAAATCTAAACATTTCTGCTCATACAGCCTTTATTTTTAAGTTAATGTCTTTTATGTTTATAATAGTCATACCAAGGGAGATCCTCTTCTTTTTCCTTTAGTAAGGTGTCATTTGGGTCAAGGTCACCAATGTCAAAAATAGATTTCTTACACTTTTACAGGTGTATTAACCTTATTCTATCGACAGATGTCTTGTATATTTTGTAGGAACATTAAATTGAGGTATTCTCATTTGGATGGAGGTAGGGGTCAGTTGGGTCAAGGTCAACAGTGCTAAAAATAGATTTTTATGTCCCCACAAAGTGGGAGCATATAGCATTGCACTTGTCCCTCCGTCCGTACGTACGTCTGTCTGTACGTCCGTACGTACGTACGTCCCGAAATCTTGT